ATCGTCGATAACTGTTTTCGATTTGTTTCGAAAAGCTTGAAAAAATTTGTGATTATCCACTTCTAAAATATTGTAAATTAGATGATATTTGATCGTAGCTTATTTTATTCAGATGGAACATATTAACGTACAACTTATATTCTACTTAGTTTTCTCATTTAGTTTTATTGAGACTATATCGTTATCAAGAAGAAAACTGATCTAGATTTTCAATTTTAAGTATTAAAATGTAATAGAGACTGCGCAAACTGAAGAAAGCACGCGTATTACGAACGCCAAACGCCATACTTTGATATCACAAGAAACTTTGACGTTAGCGAAATTGTTCCGCTGACTGTACGTAAATGGAATAATATTTATCGTTGACCTACCGCGCACAAACTTTTCGCACAATGTCATCTCGGTTGATCTCGCATCCCCGCAGCTCGCGGGGGAGCGTGTGACGCTCGACGACGGCGACGGTCGCCCATATATATATCGTTTCACTTTTCCTTTTTGTGTTCGATTTTCCCTTCGCTCCACTTTCGCAGCTAGTGAGCGTGCACGTAACCACGGGCCGGTAATTTGCGAAAGTACGAACGTCTGCTCAGACGGAGGGACGACTCGCGGAATATAAGAACGCGGGACTTGTTGCTGGTTCCAAGCGGCAGCCCGGAGTCCCGCAATATACCGGAGGAATTCGATGGTTTATTGGCTTTCCTTGGACGTGGTAGAACAACGGGCGGAAGAAGAGGAAGGAGAAACGGCGGCGGGCGGAAGGAGCGCGGCGAAAAAGGAAGAGAAATGGCAGCGGGAGAAACAGAAAGGATGAACGGCGGATAGAGAAGGAGAGCTAGAAAGGGAGAGCGGTGTGAGAGAAAGAAACGAAAGGAGCGAGACTGGTGACTATAGACCGCGGCGTCGGCTTGTTTATGGGAGTGCCGATGCGCACCATCTGCTCAAAAAGACTTGTTGTTCTAAATGTGTACACTTCGCGTGCACCGACCGATGTGCACAGACCAGTTGGCACAACGAAATCACCGATCGTATCTCACTCCGCTTCTACGCTTCGGTCGCAGGTAGAGCGTAGGTCACCGCTCTCTCATTTTTCGACAAACGCCAGTTGAGGGGGAGACCGTCTCGCAACGACGATTAATTTGTCGTCACGGCTATTCTGGGACTACAAATTTCGTTTTGTTTCGAGCGAGTTACACGCCGCCGATTGCACAGGAGACGGAGACACGCGTGGCCGTTTGACGAACATTGTTGATAACGCATTTAAGCATTTAAGCATGTTTACGGCGACATCGAATATATATAATTACCGGTCTTTAGGAAGCCTTAAAAGTAATTAAGCGTGTTAACTCTATAAGCGGGCAATATCGCGTTACTCCGACTCCTTTCGTCGACATCGTCAGTTCCTCGCGTCGAAGGTAGCTCAACGTCGTCGTCGTGACGGCCTCGGGCACGCGTCCGGGTATAAGGAGGTCCATTCGCGTGGGCAAGAACGGCAGTTGAGGACAAACGTGCCACGCGCGCCTTCGACGCGGGTGATGGTGTTCTCTCCCTCCGGGGAAAACAAAGAAGGCTCTAAACAGCAGGCTCGGGTGGAGAGGAGTTTCCAGCGAGCGCCTCGCGCACAATGGCACAGTTAGGGTTACAAGCTTCTTGACGAGTTGCCAAGTCGCGTCGTTGACGGCGAGCCCTCTCCTTTGTCGCCGTCGCCAGTTAGACGTTGCGCGACGGTGACAATCGCTCCTGCGAGCGACGACGACGACGACGACGACGACGACGACGGCAGTTCGGCGCGGCGCGGCGCGGCGGAGGAGGCGACGCTGGCGGCGTCGACGTCGGGCGTCGTCGTCGCCTTCGACGGCACAAAGTACCCGCCACCCGCTTCCCTTCTGCCCGCTTGGCGAGCCAGCCACCCGACGACCGCACGTCGGCGTTTGATCCGCTGGCCGGAATTGAAACGGAGCCAATGAATCTACCAAGCGGGATTGCGATCCTGGAGAAATCAAACCCCGGAGGATATCGCCTCGTCCGAGGCGCTTATTCCTTTTCTTGTCTCGCCAGGCGGGGGGAGAAAAAGTTTGCCGACTGAGAGCGATGGGAGGATATACCTTCTTCGATGAGGCGGATTTAAGTACCTTTATTTTCTTTGCTCCCCGTGATGGCATTTCTCGTTCGCGTTCGTGATTCACGCAGCTGTACTTGTGCTATACGATCATATACTTTGTGTGTCTGATGTAGAGCGAATTAAAAAGAGAGAGAGAAAGATACGCTAAAAGAAAGACTACCACTTTTCGAGATTACTAGAATCGTTTTGTAAAAGCGACCTACTTGGATGAGATACAATATGTTAGCCTTATCGAGTATTCGATAAAGTCATCCTATTTTTACACTTGCTTGTCATCTTTTCGTTTTGGCCTCGATATGATTGTTAATTTCCCTTCGTGGAAGCGTTAGGAAATAGTCCGAGTATCTTATCAGAAAATCGCGTTACCGATATACGCAAAGAAGCAACGACATTGCCGCCGCGTGACTTGGGATTCCGCGGCGGTATTTCAGCCGTGAATTATCGAAATTGCACTTTAAGTCGAATCTGATTCCACCGGAGTAAGCCGAAGCCCGAGCGATTTCAGAAAACGTGTCCGCTTTACCTTGTTGAGATCTCGCGCCGCCGCAAAAAGAGAATCCAGGCGGTTTTATACCCACACACGAAGAAGCCCGGAACACACAACGGCTATACGTACGCTATACGGATGCGGTCGCGCGGACATATAGGTATATGTACACACGTCTACGTGAAGGTACCCGCGGACAGATGCCGGAATGGAAGTCGAGCCTTGGGAAAGCCACGCACGTAGCCGCGGGGGATAGAGGCGGCCGTAGGTTGGCTTGGCAATGATCGCCACCCGGTGACTGTGCCAGCCATTAACGGACACGTGTCTCTATCTGGTCCTTGCGCTAGAATCGCGAGATTTATCGCCTAGAACGACACGTCGCGCCGCCGAAGACTCGAGTGTATTTTTATCACGCGTCATCGATCGCTCGCGTGTTAGTTTCTCGTCGACAGACTCGTATGTGCGCATCAGCCAATTGATCGTTGTTGACTTCGTATTTAGAGCATTAGACCATTAGAGCGTTTCCATTGAATGTAAGGCACTTCACACGCGATATTCTGTGTTTCTTCAAAGAACTGACTTGCTAAAACTTGCTTCTTTTTTGAGCTTTCAAACAGATCGAGTTTATCTTTAATTATCATTAAACGGCTGCCTGAAGTTCGAAATCATAAGACACATCTGCGTACTAAACTCTAGCACAAGATCTACTGGAGCAGCAGATGTTTCCAGACAGTGAAGGTACTTTCTTCCACGAACAGTCTCTCGATATTATATATGTGATAGAAGAAAATAGAAAAAAAATTATATCTTTCGAAGAAACGCTTTGATAGATATGTCAAATCGCGAATGGATCCTCTATTTTGCGAGGCGAACCAATTGTGAATTTGTAGTCGCAGATATGTTCTTTTAAACGGGAACGGCTATTAGTAGCACGCGTTGCCAAATCTCCGTCAATCACATAAGTTTCCTCGAACCGCACGGCCGCAATCAATATCGCCGCCAATATCAGTTTTCAAAGGATACAATCGTATCTGCAAACTTATTGTTATCGCGATAACAGCATCGCGCTCACGGCTACGCTGGGTGGTTTAATGTTATGCGTTCGCAAATAACGGCGCGATTCATTTTAGCAGCAGGACCCCGCAGTGGTTTGTCAATGGCTCGATAGCGGCGTCGGCGCTCGGCTGTTCCGGTCATTAAAACTTGATCCATCGAACTATTTGTCCGTCCGTACACGCTGGCAATCCCGAAAGTCTCGTTTTTCACGATATCGCCTCCCTGACGTGGAGCTCTCGTTCACATTTTTTATGCGGCCGCCTATACATCATCGTAACGGTGAAAGCGAAGCGCGACAGATAATTCACGTGGAGCCCGGACAGCGCTCGTAAAGCTGATAAAAGTGGCAGAGAATGACTTATTTTAATTGAAACGTTCGTAATCATTTCGCGATTGATCTGTGTATACGAGCGCGACACGGAACAAATGGGCCATAATGTCACCATATCATAATAATATTGATGCAAAAATATCGATGTCTCACATATATATTGTAAAATAGAACGTCTTTCCGGCTTTATTATCGATTTTTTTATCAAGGCCAAGATTATGCTAATTTTTATATTAGATAATCATGTTTATTTGGAGAATAATAGAACTTCTGACTATAAATATGATGTACTACATTGGCCGAGAGCTACATCAATGTCTACCGAATAATTAAATAACTCCGCAAAACACGATTCGCGTATTAATCTGTTAAAATATATTTCAAAATTGAATTTGCGGTTTCTATTTCTAAATCTTGCTATTCTCTCCCTTCACTTTCTTCCTCTATAGCGAGTTTTGGTTAGCGATACGAGTCGAACATGCTCGATACTATTGTGGCTTTTATTGTCATGCAAAAGTTCGAGCTTATGCTCGATGTGGAGCAATTCAGCAGTCGGTTGGACACAATAGACCGGACAGTCGACCCGCTACAAAATATGCAAATTCGGCCGACGTCGGAGCCGGTCTGACAAAAACAATAAACGCGAACGATTGCATGTGTTCATACATCGATGGATTCATAAAAATATCCATACGAACAGGGGCACGGATAGAAAGGGATAGAGAGAATGGTGGTCGGGATGGGCTAAAGAGGAAAGAGAAAACGCCGCACGGTGCGAGAGTGGAAGTACAATATTATTTAGCCGCAGTGTGAAACCGTCCGCCCGTTACATTCTGTACGAATTGACTACTAGCGAATTTACGGAAGAGAACGAGGCGTTTTCCTATTATGTAGCGAATAGAAATAACGATGGAGAGAGAGAGAAAGAGAGAGAGAGGGGGAGCGATGCTTTTACACTTATTTGTATGTAATATTTTTTACATGTATATTATACATATATACCGATTTAAGAAATTGCAGTATAAAGCGTATTAGATATTCGAATAATATTTATTACGGGAACAAGTATAGTTTGTAACTAACATTAAACAGTCTTTTATATCTGCCGTTTTTAATTTTGAGGTCTGTATGAAACTGTTTTGCGACTTGCTCGTAGTTTAATGGCATCCTTTTTTAGACTTGGTCTTCAAACCGTCTTTATCTCGCCGGGTGATGTTCTATTTAGGCCACACTTTTCCAAAAGTATCCGCCTAAGGCACACTTGGTCCAATTTTTGTCTCTCCGACACAGTTTAACTGTTCGTTTTTCTCTGAACTTTTTTAACGTCCCTTTAAACTTTTCTTTCAATCTGTTAAAGATTTTATCGTTTGACGATATATCCTGATGAGAATTTTTTGTCTAGTTTTTGCTATTGTTAATTTATTTCACAGTTTAAGCTAAAAAAGAATTAATTAAAAATAGATGGCTAGATTGACAGATTTAAAATCGTTATTGTAGCTGCCACAATTATATCAATTTTAATTTCAATTAAGTGTTAATTAAAAACTAATTAGAAAGTTGAAAATAATTGTGAACAAAAAATGACATTTAATTCAATTCTATTTTAAAAAATTCGGTTTTCTATATTCGATGGAAAATCTATAATTGCACAATTTTAACGCGCATTGTATATTGGTGTATTGACATCGGGCAAAAATATGCGTCGACAGGTCCTGTTAGAAGCATTTGACCATTTGTTCCATCAAGTGCGCCGAACCTATCTTCACATTATCTCGTCGAAAATCATCACCGCTACAAATCGCGTGACGAGCGAGAAACGTTCGACGAGAACACCCGAGTGAATTCCGAGGATGCAACCTCTCCCTCGCAGTGACGGGTGGGAATAAAAATGGCGCGCAGATTGGGGAACGGATAGAGAGAGAAGCGAATCGTTGCCGAGTCCCACAGGCCGATTTGACGGGTTCGTTCCCTTGATGTTTCATCCGTCCGCACGCTGCCCTGCTCCGCTGCCTCTCGCCATTTCGACCATTTGCTACCGTCGCTTGTAAATATGAGCGGTCCTTCATTCGGACAGAGAGCAATAGCCCTAACAACGTCTTCCTGCCACCGTGCGCCGGGATGCCCGTTCAGGGCGACGGCGGTTTCCCTCCGTTAGAGAATGTACCGCCATTCCTTTCCTCAGGGCGGTAGAAACTGCGAAAAGAGAGAAGCGGCCGGGGAGTGGACGACGAAAGGGACGCGGCGTGAAAGAGAGAGCGCGAGAAAGGAAAGTCCCCCGACAATCAACGTCTATGGCGCCGCGCCATCGTTCTTCCCATTTTACGTGGTGTCATAAAAGATGCTTGTTACGAGCGGTGAACGGACAAAATGACGGATCGTAATAAGTTCTCGTTCAGCCGATGACGGCGGTGTAGGCCGTCGGGCTCGCCGAGGTCCGAGACAACGACGCTCATAAATGATCAGGATAACTGAAAATGATGAACAAATAATTCAGTCGTTCGTCTTACATTAGCATGATATGCGTAATATAAGTAAATATGTGTAACACGTACATATTAAAGTACGGAACATTGAAGCGCAACGATATTATTAACATACGGCGTATAATATACGCGTGTGATATTCCGCAATCTGGATACGTACCATATCTGCGTTCATAAATTTTAAATTTATGCTTAAGATCGCGCATTACATTGAATTCTCACAATTTTAATCATTAGACACTTTTAACGTCACGAAATGTGATTTATTTTCTATCTGTTTCTTCGCGGTTAGACAAATTGCAGCGTAATAAAGTTTTATAGCACGCCTCGGTTGCGTGCGGGGTGGTCGGTACCTTCTACATACATATACGTATACACGCATTTATAAAGACATGCGCGTCCGTGGTGCTTGTGTGTCCGTATAAATTGCCGAGCTCACTTAGCCGGCCAAATTTATTCCAATCCCGTAATCCACGCCTATTCATATAGATGCAAATCGGAGAAACGTGTGCCAAATTCGTACGCATCCTTCTGGAAACGAGATATCTCGTGGGGGAAGGATAGCCTACCCCGTAGTCCACTGTACGAGCCATCCCGAGAATGAATTAATCCTTGCTGAGAGGAAAGAGGGTCGGGGGGGGAGGTAGGGGAGAGAAGCGCGACCTGAGTAAGAGCCGGTGTAATACAACGCATTGTCATGGTCCCACTGGAAGCCAACACATTCGGGCTTTCGAACATTATACACCGCGCGAATATTACGATACGCGACGTACCGGCTCGTTCTGACCATCGTGAATTATTAAATGCCCGAATTAAATGCCGCGCACGGTCATTAAACTGGCATAAGTTACACTCGCGTTCTAGCGGCCGCCGATGAAATATTAAGCCGGAATTCTACAATGACGAATATATCACGGGCGGACTCTATTATATCCGCAATATCCGTTTGTTTGCGATCTCCCATGTTACTTTGCACTATGCAAAGTACTATATACTATGTACGCGCATTTATAGAAAGAGACAGATATATGTATATTTCTTTCAACAATATCCCGAAAATTATAATATTCTATCTATATCTCGATTGCGTCTTTAGAATTAATCTGATATTTATATCTGACGTCGGTGTTGGAAAGACCAACGAATTACCTGTATAAGACACATTTCCATCGACACACGGTAGGCGCAGCTCGAGATGTCTGGGGAAATGAAGCTATGCGGGTCGGACCCGTTTCATCTTCCTGCAAATAATTTAATCCTGGCTAAGTACATATTTATGTCTGTACATAGGTAACGCGTAGGTAGCGAAGGGCTGTAGATATAAAGGCGAAATACATGGCTCGAACTATGTGCTCGCCATTCTATATAGTAAAACGCCGCGTCACGCGGCTTGGTATCATTAAAATTAAAAAACGCATTTTTAAAGAGGTTAATTGAAGAGATAGCATAGAGGTCGGTTGGATATCAATTTTTCTTTTAGAAACATGCTTCTTTATTCGGGAACCATTCGCGATATCGAACATTTCTTTTCTCTTTCCCTTTATGCATCTTACTTCTCGTCTCCATTCTATCGTCTTTTTCTTCCATGACGATATACTGTGCGGGCAAAGTAGTTGAAATTGGACGTGGCAGTGCATCCAAGACGCTTCTGAATATCCGAGTTTTCTCGGAGATTTTCCGGGCGTAGTATTTAATTTGGTCGTTGTAAGAAGAAGCGGATGGGCAGGGCAAAGGAAAAGATAAAGAGGAGGGAAAATAGAGAAGAAACGAGACAGAGAGGAAGATAAGGAACCAGAAAGAAGATTAAGATAAAGAGAAAATAGAAGAAGAGTGAGAGTGAGAGAGAGAGAGAGAGAGAAAGGAGAGGTCTTACTTGCGACGAAAACGTTTCGGCAGCCTTTACGGAGACTTAATAACTTTGTAGATGGACTATTTTTACATTTCTACCATTCGTGACTTTCAAAACCCAGGTTTAAAGTAAGCGTCGCGCTCTGCCTGCGAGTGTCGCGCTTTGAATAAAAATTGCCTTCAATGGGAGCATTTTACGTTAATGCTCTGCTCTCTCAGAGACTTATTTATAATGAAGAAAACGCGGGGTGAAGAAAGCAGAACAGAAATGCTGAGGAAGGCGTGGGCCAGCGCTGATTTATTAATAATTGCAATAGGGTTAATTAGATGGAATGTTCAAAATATCAGGTTTTAAATCGTTTCGCAGGGATGATTGATCTGCACAATCATTTGGGTTTAACGAACTTACGGATTCCAGCTCAAATTGTAGACACATATATTTACACGTTTTATACACTCATATACACATATTTTTATGAGTATTAGTGCAATTAACATTTGAAGAAAAGTGATATTTTTTTAAATAACTACCATAATAATTGTAAGCATTTTCCAGTATTTTTTAATTGTTTTTTGAGACATTTCGTTCGTATTTTATTACAAAACAACAAAAGAACGATCCAACAAATGATGTCACTTATAGCGCGCTTAATAATTTTTCTGACATGATTCAGTAGAATCGTCGATTTGGATATTGATTGACTGAACTGACCGGTCTATTTCTATCCACCGTGGGTCAAAAGCATTTCTCAAAGGCCGACAATCTTTGACCGAGTTCCTTTGATCGGATCCGGAACATAGGTTTGCGACGAGAACGATTTCACAGGTCGTATGACACTGTATCACATAGGCCCAATGGAGGGACCGTACCAATAGCTGTGGTAAAGCTAGCTGAAGTTAGGCACGAATTTTTTTCAAAAAATAAAAGGAGTGTATCAAATAGAAAAGTACGTATATTTTCGCCGTTTATGATCGTGAGAAATCATGCCTGAGAACTTCGATCAAACCTCTTTAACGAAGAGTCCTCTGCCCGCCGCGAAATCAGCCAGCTTTTACGGCGCTTTTCTCCGCAAACATCGCAAACAATTGTCGCGTAGGTAGGTTGATGGCACAGAATACCACAGAGCAGGTCCGTCGTTCCGTTTCGTGCGACCACTTCACTTATGCGCACTCGGCGGCTTTATGGACCGAGACTTGGCGGTTACGGTAGCACGAGTCTTCTTTCTCGCTTCCTTTTCCCCCGTCTTCGCGAGGGAAAACTTCAAACTGTTGCGACGTTACGAGGCTAACTTTCGCGAAGTGCCGAGGAGAATAGAATTAACTCGACGTCTGATAATAGCGCGGTTGCTAATCGCCGGGAACGACCGACAAAGACGAAATAGGAACGGATGAATATTCATTCGCGATCAGCGACGCGGAAGTCTGAGCGTGTGGTCTCGTAATGTATGCATTCGCGACGTACGTTCCTCGGCTCGAATGACGGCGGCGGCGGCGGCGGCCTGACATAGAACGTGGTAAGTCGTCCCGCGAATCGGACGAGAGAGCGATCACCTTCTTAAAATAGCAAATACCCTTTGCCGCGCCAGTCGACCGGGCGAATGCGGCAGGCGCAGAACACATGGCAGCGGCGGAGGACAACCTGCTGTTATCGATATTCAAAAAAAGCCCCGTTTTCGACGCGGGGTATGTCCGGTATGTTGACGATAAATGCCGATACACTCCGCGGACGAAACATCAACCTTCGTAGAGTCGGCGTTACCTAGCCACGGTTATTTGCATATTTCAATTTCCTCTGCGCAATACCGAGGGGGTGCCGTCGACGTGGCGGCTGAAATACACGGACGTTGAAATACTCGCATATCCTCGCGCGCGCGCACATATTCACTCACTCTCCACCTTTTCGTTTCCACGTTTGTGTGCTTGCGGCGGTATATCGCGAAGATCCAACGGAGAAAATTTCGTTGTTATGGACAACCATTACCACGTCGGGATATGTAAGTACACGCACACTGGCGCAGAGCTCTTTCGAGACGTGTTGGTGTACCTCCCACGTGTATAAAGTCGCGATACGCTCGTACACACGTTGCGGTGGCTATGTGTATGTATACCGTCAGTTAGAAACGCTTCTCGTTCCGCCCCGCCGCGGCTATATTATCTGCGTCCCTATTATAAAAGTCATTTCGCAGGACACTCTTCCCTGTCCATTGTACCGGTGCATTTCAATTTTCGCCCAAGATGCAAATTTCACCTCCGCGCGTGGTCCCGATGCAGGGACGACGATTTCCGTATACTATAACGGGTGATGTGTGTGGGTGCGGCCGGTGGGTGAGTCTGCCGGAGGCTCGTTTCGTTTCAATTCATTAGGAGAACCATAAAATCCTCATTCCCGGACTGCCTAGTACCTGGTTAAGAGCAATTTGGTTGGCGCGACGCGCTCTTTCTTCGACTCCCGCGGTCGGGAAACTTTTCATTCCTGTTCACCGTGTCACTTGGGAGCTTTTACTTTCCAATTTTCGACAAGCAGTGCCGAGGCATGATTCGAGGGTTAAAAGAGTTCGCTCTAGACACCGTCGGATTTAACTTTCGCGCGTTTCTTTTCACTTTGGGATTTTCAACTTTGAACAATACACGCAACTTAGTTTAAAACAGAAATTTTGTTCCATCCCTCTCCTTACTCCAAATTTCTCATAAATGCTATTAATTTTTATTTACAAAGCGTATTACATTTTTACATCGTATGACAGCGAAAAAATATAATAAATCTGTGAAACTCCGATGATCAATATCGAGAATGAGATTATATTATCTTTGAAAAACGCGGGGGGGAACAAATCGGTTAGATTCTTTTTGCAGTATTCGAGATTGCTCGTATGAACGACGTGGATACGCAAAGCCATCCTCCCTCGAAAGGTACGGACCGATATGGGGCATCGGCGGACATCCGACAGCGTGAGAGGGGCGCGAGAGGGGAACGGCGACTGTCGGAAAGTGAGAGAAAGAGAGAGAGAGAGAGATCTCGTTGTATCGATCGGCGTCATAAAATCCATTTTATGACTTGGACGCTGTCCAGTGACTGGTGTATTAGCCGTCGCATTGCCTCGCAAATAAAACGCTCTTCTACTCTTGAACCCCCTTTAACCACCTCGCCTGGCCCTCGTCGACGTCGGACGATGCCATCAACTCTCGTTTGTATCTCTCATCCTGCCTTCTCTCTCTTTATCTATATGTCTCTCCCACCTTTCCGCGATACACGTCGGCAGGTTTATAGGCAAAAACTCACAACCTAGACAGTCCTCCTTCACGGTCTCATACCTCTCGGGGTTTTGCCCTGCAGCCTCTTCGCGTACGGTCCACAGCCACGAGAAAAGAACTACTTGATTATCTACTTGCGTTTTCTCCATGCCTGTTCGACAACGTATTTGCTGCCACTCGAATCAGCGTAAAACAGTCTATAATCCGGCTCCATTGGATTTGCATGTGTATCCCCGTCATATATTTCTCAAGACGAATAAAAGCTTCTCTTCGAATCGCAGCAGAGTGTGAAACGATGACCTTTTCGCGTATAATACATGGCACTTTTTTTTCTCGCGTTTAAACAATAGCTCCGCTACTATATTATTCCTGATTCGCTTACGTACAAACATTGTTGCAAACATTAACAATAACTGCATTGTGCAATGATAAATACCGGCAGAGATTTCGCACCGTTATCATGGAAATTTAACTTTATAATATTTATGTGACATAAATTAAACGCAAGAAGGTAACATAATATCGCATGATATAATACATTCATATATTAGTATATCGTTCTTATTTTAATGTGCGATTTTATATTAAAGAATCTTTTCACACTCTTTATTATTCTATTTTATTTTATATTCTATTTTATATTCTACACTTTATCATCTATATTTTTATATTGTATTAATCTCATTTAATTTGCATATCGCGCTTACCGATACTTACTGTGGTCATTTGAGTTTTACATGATGCATCAATGCAACAACGTGAGAGGAACGCGGCGTGTCGCTACAATGGTCATTGTCGCCTGGACCCGCTGGTGATAATTAACCTCAATTGAATTGAGATCGATAATTAATCTCAATTGAATTAATTAGATTTGCTCGTTGAAAATCAAGCACCTACGAGATACGCGAATCATATATCGGGAACGCACGACGCTGTACGTTCGATGGATAACTCTGATTCACTTTTTGCTCCGTAATCTTCATTAGAAACTTACGACGGGAGAAACTTCTCCGCGCATCGATTCGCCGTAGCTTATCCACGTCGTTGTTTCACGCCTTGCATATGTCGTATGTGTACATTTGAAACTTCGTCGCTACACATGCAGATGACTATGCGCATACCCGATGACAAGCTGTTTCATTATCTAGAATCAGTGAATTGTTCCTACACTACCGAATGTATAACTGCTTCATCTGCAATTTGCACCGAGGCCGCGCCGCCACTCGACGCTTCGCTGTCAAGCTAATCGTAAGCCTTATCGTAATTGCCTATGCCGCTAGACGCGACGTGACTACATCGAGGAGGAGGTATATATAGGAATCGCGGCATAATCGTTACCTCTCGCGTTAATTACTCTATATAGCGAGACCAGAATTTATTGGGAAAGACAACTTTCTTATACAAAGTCTTTAAATATTCCAGTGACACAATCCAAATATATTTAAACATTTCATTATCTGGTAACTATACGAAACTGAATTAACTCTTTGTATTTTCGCCGAGGTAGTAGCCGGGCTGTCCCAGTTCGAAAATAGATGCCTCAAAAGCGGCTCTCCGATAGCGGAGTAAACAGTACACTCCAAAGTCAAACTTGCCCATCAAACTTGTGCCCGCGCTGCTATTTACCGCGTTACAAATGTACATTCATTCGTCGGTGAAGTATCTTATTTTCCCCCGAGTGGACCGTATTGCGTCGCCTCGCAGATTGAATTTAGCTGAAAAAGACAAAAGCGGCGGCGGCGGCGGAGAGATTCATGGCAACGCGCAGCGCGAGGAAACGATTGTCCCTGTTCTTGTCGCGTCGCTGGGAGCTAATTCATCCTCGGGAGGCCCGCGGGGCTTGCGATTTGCCGCCGCGACGAAGTTTTCTATTCCCGCTGGGTATCCGGGTCGCAGAATAGGGGAGCCACGAGCGCGCGTGAGTCCCTAATGCAATTAAGATAAGCGCGACCGCGATGTTTATAAATATTTTCGGGCATTTCCGAAATAGCGAGAGCGCTTGGATTACGGGCGTGTGTATTCCCCCGTATCTGACGTAGCGAGGTACCCGCGGCGCGCGGCGTCGTGACCGGCCGCAGGCTACCAGCGAACTTTCGGCCATCACGACGCGCGCGTTCCATCCCTCGTTCCTCCAGCGAGAGGGGAAGCTTTTATACGCGGACTTACCCCGGGTTAGGTTGGACGTCGTACGTGCGAATGAGACGTACGGCGGTGTCGGAGATAACCACGCTCTGGACGCGTGCAACGTGCCGCATGAAAAATTACGAGTGCGCGCAGCGCGCCTCACGCTTCTCTTACTTCCTCGTTCTCTCGTTTACACGACGTGACTCTTCAGGGAGTGAAAGACCGCCGGAAGAGAGAGAGAGAGAGAGAGAGAGAGAGAGAGTGTGTGTGTGTGTGTGTGTGTGTGTGTGTGTGTGTATGTGTGTGCATACCGGTGCACTCCCCGCCATCGTCGTGAAACTGCGTCATCGAAGTCCTCGCGCAAGATTAAAATGTCTCAAGTATCACGCTGTAAAACAGTGTGACTTGGAATTGAAATTCCATCGCGAGTATAAGAAGCAGTGATTTAGCGAATCGTATCGACAGTTTTTACATATGCTAATCAATAAGTTTGCTTAAGTAAGTTTATACAAATTAAATAATTAACACAAAATTTGAGCAGACTAAAGATTATCTATGTGTGTGTGTGTGTTTATGAATTGTATTAAATGCTCTAGTTGTTTTTACAATAATAGAAACGTATCATTACATAATAACGTAACAAGCGGTGTTTTCAAATCACGAGATAATTATTAAGAAGTGAGACATTCGCGTGTTTATGAATTGTATTAAATGTTCTAGTTGTTTTTACAATAATAGAAACGTATCATTACATAATAATGTAACAAGCGATGTTTTCAAATCACGAGATAATTATTAAGAAGTGAGACGTTCGCGTGTGATATATTTGGGCATGCACTAAGATTGAGATTATATGAGTGTGCGAATGGATTCTCCGCACGTGAGTGTATTTAATGAATTTAATGAATTTCGTAAGTGACAGAATCGCGCTGATAGAGTCGTGTCATAAATATTTGCGCAATCTTGGTTCTTCGGGGTCTGTCCGCGGCTCTTGCGCCGCGCGTGCTTGCTTACATCCATCTCCCTGTGTTGAGATAGTCAAATGGTGATCAGATAGGACCGAGAGGCCCTTTGAATAAATTCTCAGACCGATAGGAAGGCGGTCCCAGGGGGTTTGCTCGACAGTGCGATAGCCGATAATGGTCTGGTTCAGGCACCGTCCAATATTCTCGGGTTAATTACCATCGTTTTAACCCGCTGCGATATCGATGCTATTTCTTAAACCGACTATATGGTCTACGAGAATTGACTCTACACACACAAAGATTTTTCAATATCTTTATTGAAAACTACTATCTACGTAACATCAAATTCTAATTAACGCCTCATTAATATGGATAATAATTGTCTTTGTACATTTGTCTCCTGCGAATCAAGTCAAAATTATGTATAACAGGTATATTATTTCACGACAAAGGTTTTCTCCTAAATTGACCTCATTGTTAACCCGATAAGAGACGGTACACTTTGTGTAAATTATAAGCATGTATATAATTTTACGGTAGCGGATAAGAGTGGTAAGCAGCATATGAACTTCTGAAGTACGACTAATACCGGGCTATTTATATCAACCGCGAGATAACGATTCTAGAGTGTTGCGCGAGGCTTGCGTGAGCGCGACGTCGGTCGGCGGGTGGTGTGGTGGGTTGTTTCCGTCGCTACATCGATATTACTATCTGACGAAGATGATAGCGTAGCGAAACTCGCATAACGTGTTCTGCGGGACGCGATTAAGCGACGTGTTTTACGAGTAGCGGTGTATCGCGCGCGGGAATCGAAACGCGCGTCGCGCGGGTGATGAATTCCCGTGGGACGTCCCCGTAGAAATTATTCTCCCGTCGTTGACAAAATCAATGGCCGAAATCTCGGCGGGCCGGTTTTTTGACCGGTGACCGAGCCGGCGAGCGACGCGAGGACGTCATCGTCATCGGGTGGGAACGTCATGTTTATTTCTGCGCGACAACGCGCGCTCGCAGTTTCAAAGAGTATACGGTCGATTCGCGACTGCGTGAGATCCGTACATTTCCGGGGCGCGAATACGGCTCGGTCCTCGTGTTTTGCACGTCGCGCGTCATAAAGATTGCAGCGTAAAAGTTTCGCGAATGTATGCCGCGTCGGCAATTACGCAGCGAGAACTTTCCACCGGCCTGTCTAATTACGATAACACATTGACTCGCGTCACGTAATTGCGGTTGTGCGCCGCGAGCACAACGGGAGAGATCACGTTATCCACGAATCGACCTTAGACTCGGGCGCGCTCCGCGGCAAGTATAAAACTTTTATTTCGACGGATCTCTCGACCACCAGCTGTGCAAAAAGCTTTGCGTTTTACGTTGCGCCGCGACCGGCCGCCGATAAACCTCGTCTCTCGCACAAGCACGTCGTAATATTTCTCTAAGTGATTACACCCCGAATTCTCGCGTGCCTGCGTGTCGCTCTCGATACCTTTGTGATAAAAGGGTACGTAAAGAGCTCTCGCGGATGCTATGTCGTATAGCGAAACCGTGGGCTAATCTCTTCGCGAGAGATAAGGTTTATGTTTTTTTTTCTTTTCGTTTTCAGGCTGTGCGTTCCTCACCTACTACAGCCGTGACAGCGCAATCAGCGCCCAGAACGCTCTGCATGAGAAGCGGACTTTACCAGGGGTGAGTGTTTACAACGTTTACTGCAAGCAGTTTACCTACTTTTCAACCAATTATATTCCATTAATGCCACCTCCATTCCGTGTTGCGCCCCACCGGCGGAAATCTTATCTCGGTCTCGCTTAATAAGCGCTCTCTCGTTAGTCCGCCATACTACGAGCGTGCGCGCGCTCGCCGTGACTTGGGGACGTAGCACCACTGAACTCTCGAAGAGAAACGATATATTTTTCTTAATCGCAAAGTTCCATCGACGCGTAGCGTATGCGCGACGTTTCGAAATACGAGAGGGTATCGCAACCCAAAATTGTTCGGCATTACGAATACGCGATACGCGTGAATTAGCTGTCGAGAGACGCCGACGCTGCATTCGTTTTGCCGCGAGACCGTTTGGAGCGGCTCCAAGTTTGCGGGCGAGACTTCGAAATATCGATTTATTTAGTCTCCGATTTCCGTCTATATACCTCATGGAACGGCCATCGAGCGTACGCACGACAGATGCTATAATTTTTAATCGAGATGCGTTTCGCGCGGCAAAAAAAAGTGCCGGACACCGACAGTAACGGATACTTATCGCCGTATGCCGTTTCTCCGACTAATTTCGGCGATTCGGGATATTAAAATGGCCCGACGTGACGAGTTAATCTCTTAACGCCGAGATTCCGTTTAGGGGAGGAAGGGTGGCGGGCGGTCGGGTAAAGGGAAGGAGCGCGATCGCGGGGATGGCACTGACGCGGCGAGTCCGCGATGTATCATCAGACTTTCTGTGTGGGATTCCCTGCAAATGCCAGGACCGGATACGCGCATTCTTATACCCCTTTCCTGGTATTACAAAAATCTCGCATTCCTCTTCAATTGGGAGGGATCGGAGAGGATGCACATTCTCCGTATTCGGCGCATTCGCCTAAGTCGCGGACGAAGAAACTCGGTCTCAAAGGCACAGAGAAAGGCAAAAAAAAAAAAACAACATTGCATCATAATCGTATGGTTCGAACACGGTGTGGATAGTTCTCTCTCTTTCTTTTTTCCCCCCATATTTATGGCGAGTAATGTCGTAAATAACGCTGGACGTACGCCGTTATCCTCGCCGTGCGAGTTGCTAACTCGACGTAGCTCTCCCTCGTATACGGTGTTAGAAAGTTACGATATCTTCGGGACGTTCGAGATATTTTCACCGGACATTTATCGCGTCCGTAACACGTGATACTTTGGCCTCGCATATATCGGCGTCCTTTTCTCGCGTAATGTGATTGATCGTGAATTATATCTCTTAAATATACTTTTTATAGTTAAATCCCCCTTCGTGTTGCGCGAGGTCCCTCCCGGAGGCCTGTGCGGGTTGCCAAAACTCCTGAAATTTTCCATCGATCGTGGCCCCGGAGGCCGAGCCACGGCGCATCGCCGACACTGAATGCTGCTTAACTGCCAGAGCGGTGCCAACATGCCCCTTCCCATTATCTGAGCTACCCCTTGGAAGTCCGTAGCGAGTACTGGCGTTATGTTTCGTTAATCTATCCCCCGAAACAACGCTGCTATGGTCTTGGCACGGCTGCCAGCGGAAATCGTTTTAAATGTTATGCCGAGGGATGTGCGTCAAGGGGGAGGGGGAGGGGGAGGATACGGTTGAGTTATGACTTTATGAAGAGGCAGACGCACGTACGCGCGCGTACGCCGACGGGGGGTTTTTTTTCTCCTTTTGCATGCACGCGGTTTCCGCGTGTTGGCCGCCCGCGAGATATATCTGAAAAAAATCTGCACGTCCGATTCCCGTGATATATGCGTCGCGGCGAAACCGCTCTGTCCGAAATTGCGCGGTTTAGTCCACAATCCGACGACAGAAATATATATCGTTTTTCGTTGCGTTAACTTTGGAACTCTGGCCGATGGAATTTTTACGGTGCGACGGCATGCACTCGATAATGTATCTTTCAATTAAAATCTTTCATTTGAAACAGCGACAGAAAAGTAGGTTTCCGAAAGTTTGCGGTACTTAATCACATTTCTCTTTCGACGTAACGCATATCGCGAAACGACATATATTTATAACTTCCGCAGGGATGACTGATCTGCAGTCATTAGGGTTTAGCGAACTCACGAACCCGTGCTCAATACATCACGGTCATTCACACACATTTACATATTGCAAATGACATATACGTGTTTTATGAGTGAGAATGCAATAAACATTTGAGAAAAAAATGAAGGGAAGATGCAACCTAATTTGAGAATAATAAAAAGAGGATAGAGAAACAGTAATGAAAACCAAATGTATAGATATACGTGTTTAATATACGAAGCAGAATAACATTAGCTAAAGCTCATTTTTTTATACCCATTAATTTGAAAAATATATTTGACAAAATAAAATTCAAGTTTAGAAGCGCCATGCAAATTTTGCTATCACGATACCGAGCTAACTAGCACATATATGAACAGCTGCCTTTGACTGTTGTGCGATTGGCATGTATTCATCCTTCTGTCGCGTTTGCTGTGTCTCGATAAGATAGGGCCAGAATGATATTTAAACAGATGCTCGTCAGGGGCTGGCGGATTTTACTTTGATCAACGCGCATCGGGTCTAGGATCTCTCAGCTCTGCTCGCTAATTCGAACTCATCGCTCAAACTTGTAGAGATTGCAATCTCAGCGTGAAGTTGCATAAAGTTACGTAACGCGCTATGTATGCATAAGTCACGTCAGCCCAATCACATTAAAATACTTCGGCCGAGAACAACGATGGTTATGCAAATCTTAATCTAGCGCTTATATTCACCGAGGCGGTTTTACGAGCCGGCTGCACGATGGCGATGGAATGGCGCGTAGCCTTCCGCCCCAAGATGCCGATTTCATTCATTGGTACGGCTCTTGTAAACGCGGCTAAACGCGACTAAACACCCGCGTCGGCAATACGCACGATGCAACGCGCTCGTTTGCCGATCCGGACCTCGAGTCGAGTCGTAATATCCGAATACACCTGAGACCATAACTCGGCCGAGCAACGGACCCTTCATAAACACAGATCCCGTAGCCGAGGCAGCGCTGCTGCTGCGCAAGCAATAACAATGCCGCCGGCCAACGTCGTCTATACTTAGCTCGCGCTTATACTGCGGAAGCGATCGTTGCACGTGCGCACGCGCCCGTTCGCGCGCACGCGAGGAACAGAAAGCGACAGAGAAAGTATTTGGGCGCCCCGCTTCCGGCCGGTTTCCGTAATACTTCTAGCGCGGCTTGACGTGGCGTGTCAAACTTGTTGCTATACATACGTCCGATGATTCAGATTCCCCGTTCCTTCCTCGAACGCTAAATTTAATGGCGCGTGTACGCTTCGACTTTCGTCCGCGATACCGCAGACCTCACCGCCGTATTTATCAACATCGTCATTAAGCGAACTGCATGTAAAATAACAGTTACGTCACTCGGAACCGTCGAAAATTATATATATATATATCTCTCTGCGGAAAAAGGAAAACGATTCGCTTAATGTCGTCCGTCCGGCGGATCTAAATGCATTGCAGTTAACCGCCTCCGTACTTTATCTGCTTCTTGTTCTCCCCATATTTTTTTTCTCGGCCTCATTTGCTGCATCGAAATCCGCATGAAAATATCCGAATCTTTTTCGCTGCGGGTAAAGCTTTCCAGATTTAATTCTTGTTTATTTGCTTTACTTTGTAAGCCATGTCTGAAACTCGCCCGTCGTGTTGGTCTAGGCAGCCTCAACATTAACAGATCGCCAGATGTTCGCTCGGTATCGCGGGCGACAGAAAAATTTCGTATACGTGTTACGGCTCGTAGATAGAAATCCGATCTGTGGACGTTACAATCTCGGAATCTCGACGATGTTCGGGAGAATGGAGATGATTGCGTTTTGAGGGACTATAAAGATCGATCGAAATGGCAAATTGGATATCATAAGGGTCGTTAAATAAAAATGCAATGTCGGGTCATCGCGCGAGCGTCACGCTATAATACGCGAGGAGTAATGTTCCGCCTTGACTGCCTTGAGCGTAATCGCTTGGCAGCGGTTCCCTCGTGAGAATTGAAAAAATGCATTAAAGCTCACGCCTGCTTTCCGGCCGCTGCCGCTAGAGACCTTCGTTTTCCGTGTTCGAAATCATGAGGGAGAGAGAAAGAGGGAGAGAGAGCTTAAGTGGCGAGAACGTCGAGGTGACGCGATAAGGAACGTTGAAATTCAGACGGACGAATTGCGGGTGACAAATTGGCGGGCCGATTTACGAGGGTGTAATTGGCGGTGTCGCGCCATGGGTTTACGCCAGTTACCAAAGGCAAAGAAACGTATATAGGCGCAGCGAGAAGGTGAACGGAGTGGATGAGGGAGAAACAGGGACGGGGGGGGGGGGGGGGGGGGAGAGACGGGGAGAGTTTGTACGGATTTGCATAAGGCGAGCGATACTCGCGCGTGCAAAGCTCGACGTGGAAGCTCGAAAAAAAAGGGCACGGAAAAACGAGGCGGTCGGGTGCGCTCGTGAGCGCGAAGGCCCAAAGAAAAGAACGGAGCTGTCCGAACCCGTGCATTGTTTGCATTCCCTCCTAACGAAGTTTTTGCAACTGCAGCGCGCACCTGCGCCGCACTTGAATTCAATGACGTTCCAACGATTTCAGCCACTCCAAGTGTCCTATGCATAATTCACTGTCTGCAAGTGACGCAATAATAAAAGTGGCGGTTTTTTTCGTGGACCTCTATCTCGCTACCCTTGGTTTGTGCGGAGCTAGAGCTAATACGCCATTACGTTAATTTTGCGCATTTTTCGTTACGTATATTTTTCCATAAATTATATATCTTTCTCGTCTCGTGACATAATAGATTGGATTCAGCTTTGCAGCAAAAAAGGATTTATAAGTTGCCGACGAAGTATATTAAAAGTAGCTATTATACTTCGCGTACACCGCGCAAAGTGTCGTCAGATCGTTACGTAATTATCGCGTGACTATTACGTACGGAGTTGAAACGAGGTCTCCGTCGCCACCGTCAAACAATTACGCGGATCT